GTGAAGTCCGTATGGATAAATTTTCATAAAAGTAAAACAGCAATAAAAAAATGAAGGAACGTTGGAATTTAATAAATAAATAGCCATAAACCATCTAGGTCTATTTCGCATCGAATGGTGGTAGTTTCATGTCGATACGATCAGTGGTTTAGGCGTGAAGGAGCCTCAAACGAAGACCATTTTTCTTTTATATATATAGATATTGTCTGTAAATCCATAGAATTGTTTCTTAATCCAACCAGGTTTACGAGCCATGCGTTTTCCACTTGTGTCGACTTTATAATTGTTGGTGCATGGCGCCTGGTTAAAATTTTGTAGCAAAAAGTACTAATGTACGACCGAGTACCTTTTCGCAAGTCACTTCCACACTGCTAAATAATTCTAACCCTTTTTGATCTTGGTGTTGACAATTTCGCCGCCACCCGCTTTTTTCAGAAACATAAGAACTTATTATCTCTTTATTGTAAGTATCATATTAAAGATATGAATTATAAATTTCAGTTCTGAATACAACCCTTTAAATTAGGTATGGGCAACCATTGACATGTTGAGGGCCAAACTTTAGCGTGCAAATACGTTCGCGGGCCGCGTTTAAAAGTACTTAGTGCATTTTAAAGTACCTCGTGATAATATTTTTTGCGATAGATATTAGACATTAAATATTACTACAATGTTATTATAGTACAATTTATTAAAATAACAAAATGAAATTAAAAAAAATGGTACATTATAATTAAATAGTTAAATTTTGCAATTCTTACAAACAACGAAAGTACACCGAAAGCAATGCGACACTTGAGCTTGAATTTGGGAAACTAATCCATCGATATTTGGATTAATTCCACTGATACAAAGAATAATAAGTAAATAATTTTCCAAATTATCGTCAGTCAGTCTTGTACGATGTGTTGATTTATTCACTTTCATCAATGAAAAGAACTGTTCGCATTTATATATTTATATAGTACTGCCAGACTCAAATCGAAATGAATCTTGTTGCGAATTTTCTAAGCTGCGGAAAATTTTCTTTTTCTAGGTTTTTTTTTTGTAGAAATCGCACAACTCTACGTCTTAAAATTTGGATTTTTTTTTCTTGAATCTCGATAAACTCCATTTGTAAGTGTATTGGAGTAAATTGATCATTACATTTTGTAGGAGTAGCAAATAAACTGAAACAGTCTTCCATGTTTTTGAAGTAGGTATATCTTTTTATATGAAGGTTATCTTTTTATTCAAATACTTTATTGCAAAACACTACAAGCATAAAACAAGAAGGCCCGTAGAATCGTATGGAAAAATAATAAATAACGTGACAAAGTCCTGAGACATTGCAATTTATATAATATATTAAAAAAACTAAAACGAAATTAGTACAGTTGTTACTTCATATATTCAGAAAACCTAGTTGTTTTTTATTAAACGACATCGCTTAGTGCATGTATATATAACATTTATATTTAATAAATAAATTTAGTTACATAAATATGTCACCATCAATCTCTTATTCTCTGAATGTGGTGTCGGGCGTAATTGCAGGATAAGAGGAATAACATGAGGTGCTACAGCACGACTTTAAAAACATATAGCTGGTGTCCCAGTATCACCACTTGATAAAGAGACAGCATTCTCACTACTTTATATGGATCTAACGAAATTGTGCTCATATTGCATATAACACTGATTCGCAAAACTACATAGGCTGCACTAAAAGTATCGGGAATGGAATAATACCACTGTTCCTGTCATATTTAAATCTTTTTAATTGAAAACTCCTTTTTTTTTAAATCGAATACCATTGTTTTTTATTTTTTTTAATTCTCGGTATTTTCACAAAGTTTTGTCAAACTTGTTTAGTCGTTGAGAAAATGGAATTGACTCGAGAAAATTCAAGAGCGATGATTTATTATGTTTTTCGAAGTGCTTTATCACAAAAACAGTGTGTTGACCGGATAATTTCTGCATTTGGTGATGAAGCCCCATCCAAAACCACAATTTATCGCTGGTTTGCTGAATTTCAACGTGGACGTGTCAAGCTCAGTGATGATCCCCGTCAAGGTCGTCCAAAAACTGCAGTCACCAAAGAAAACGTTGATGCTGTGCGTAAGCTGATTGAGGAAGATCGACATGTGACATACCGCGAAATTCAGGCAACTTTAGACATTGGCATGAGTCAAATACAAATAATCTTGCAATGATGAACATTGAACAATTAGGTGTAAAAAAGTTGTTTTCCCGATGGATACCGCATTCGTTCTGTGAAGAGCAAAAAGCGGTTTGCGTTTTGCTTGGTACGTCACGCAGGATCCTCAAATGCTGTATACAACATCGTATCAGGTGACGAATCCTGGATATACGCGTACGAACCTGAAACAAAAAACCAGTCACGAGTTTGGGAGTTCGAAAATGAGTTAAAGCCAACGAAAATTGTTCATTCACGGAGTGTTGCAAAAAAAATGGTGGCCACGTTTGTCTCCAAAACCGGCCATGTTGCGACTATTCATCTTGAGGGACAAAGAACGGTTAATGCAGAATGGTATGCTAGCATTTGTTTGCCACAGGTCGTTTCTGAACTCCGTAAAGAGAACTGCAACCGCCGCATCATCCTCCATCACGACAATGCGAGTTCTCACACCGCGCACTGAACAAAAGAGTTTTTAGAGCAAGAAAACATAGAATTATTAGACCATCCGCCGTACAGCCCCGACCTAAGCCCTAATGATTTCTATACTTTCCCTAAAATAAAGAATAAATTGCGTGGTCAGAGATTTTCATCACCTGAAGAAGCTGTGGACGCCTACAAAACGGCCATTTTGGAGACCCCAACTTCCGAATGGAATGGTTGCTTCAATGATTGGTTCCATCGTATGAAAAATGTGTCAAATTTCGCGGAGAATACTTCAAAAAGCAATAAATACATTTTTAAATAGTAATGTTGTGTCACTTCCTTGATTCCCGAAATTTTCAGTGCCGCCCTCGTACTTTCTGGTTTCAGCTTTCATGAATTGAATGAAATGTTTCTGTTAAATCAATTTATTCATATATGTAATGATGTATACTTAGTTACTTTAATAAATAGTGGAAATGTGAATTATACATTCTCATTGGAAAGTAAAAACTAAATACTTACGTTAGAAATAATAACAATAATGAGATGGAAAAAATCTCTGCTTGAAACATTTTACTAAGGAGCTGGTAAAGACTTAACGTTATTATTAAGTTAAGTTAAAATAAGTTAAAAAAAATAAGTGTATCCGACATGGATTACGGTTTTCACTCCCTACATAATAATAATTAAATATATACATGAATAAATAAGATGGTCTTGACAAATCACCTACGAAGTAACTATTGAAATATTTGATCTGGAGCAAACTGTCGCAGTGACAGTCACTCACTCTTATAATCTTTAGAAGTTAATTTAGATTAAATGTCTTAATGTTTTTAGTGATGATTCTTTAATCTCGCTTGGGAGAGAGAGTTATACGGGCGAAATCAAGGCAACTTGTATGAACAAGAACCTGCAACGACCTACGACTGCAAACCTGAATTCAATATATTGTGTACTGCCTCATTACATAACAGAATTAAAAACCGTTAAATTTTAATAACTTTGGTAGGTTTATGAATTTCCTGGTCATTTACATAAGAAGAGGAAATTGACTTGAGAAGACAGATTTCATAGTTTACGTGTATGCTACGATGTCTACGCATTTGTTATATGAAAAAAGTTTGTTAATTGATTATTAACTTTAATAAAAATCTTTCATATTATATGTTTAAAAATACTTCAATTTTGTTACGTACTTAATGCAATAATTTGATTGAAAATTATCTAAATTAGATAACCGTAAATAAATGCTTCTGATTATTATTATCATATCATTTTTGTGGTAAAACCCATTGGTGCTCTATAATAAAAATAATGTTTAATTAATTAAATATTATTAACAGATTTAATTTTATTTCAGAGATTTTAGTTCAATAGCCTCACTGTGCATATGACATGGTATTTCTTAGCTTATTTCATGCCTTGTATACACGACTCCTTGCATGTTCCTATAGTGGAATTCCAGCAACTCAAAATTGTTTATTTGGTGGCTAAGAAGCTTCAATAATTAAATTTTAACTAAAATTTACATTATTTAAGTTGGAATTTACGAAACGTTGTTTAATGAGAATTACGTTATTTACTTTTTTCGGTTTATACCAGATTCTCGTACGCTGTCAGTATAATTGTCAATTTTAAATATATAATTATATACTAGCTGCCCCCGCGAACTTCGTTTCTCCTTAATGCCTAGCCTACCTTTTAGTACAGAATGTCGGTTTTCCGGAATGTAAACTTTTAGGGTTTTCTGTGATTTTTTTATATTTAAACCTCAGAGTTTCAGTTATAAGTTATTAACTAACTAATAAAAAATTAGGGTTGATCGTAGAGGGTAGGTGAAAATTAAGGGTTGTTTGTATTTTAGTATGCTGTATTTAAAAAACAAATTTTTTGGGGTGGACACCCCTTATCACTTAGGGGTTTGAAAGATAGATAGTAGCCAATTCTCAGACTTTCTGAATATGCATAAAACATTCATAAGAATCGGTCGAGCCGTTTTGGAGGAGTATGGGAACGAACAATGTGACACGAGAATTTTATATATTAGATACTGTTTATACATGTATTTAAAATATTGTGAACTGCGACGATTAAAAACTTACATTAATAATCATTGATCAATTTATATACCTACTATCTGTTTTATTTGATATTTAAATAAACAAGTTAAATTATTATTTCTACATATCAAAAAACAGAAAGTAAAGGGCGCAATTGAGAAAGATAGGAAACGTCGCAGGCTAATGCTAGTAAATTAAAAATTTAAGCCATTTTAATTGATAGCGTTCTGGCAAACTATCTTTAGGAATTAGGGCTTATCAATGTTTTGTCAATTTTTGCTTATATATAAGCGATTGCAATGTCCATCAACCATTAACACAAATCAGCAACTATGAAACTGTTCTTGGTAGTTCTCGGAGTCACAGCAGCGCTGGCTGCTCCTCCATTGCAGTATGAGCCCATAGTTACTGACTACCATGGACAGATTGGTATGCCGGAGGCTGCCCGCATCAAGGCCTATGAAGAAGCCATGGACTTCGACGGCTCCAGAATTGTCGGTGGAAGCCAAGCAAGCCTTGGACAGTTCCCCTTCTTTGTAAGATAATTATTATAATATTATTACATTTTAATTGAAGATTGCACTACAATTCGTTAAAATTTCTCATTTATTCACACCATGAACAATTCGCGATTTCGAATTCCATAATTTCTTGCAGGGTGGTTTACTTATCAACATGAGAGGTGGCGGTCAATCGGTTTGCGGTTCCACTCTCATCAGCAGCAACAGAGTGCTGACAGCTGCCCACTGCTGGCGAACAAGGCAGTTCCAAGGCCAATCGCTCACTGTAGTGCTTGCATCGATGCGTCTCTTCTCTGGCGGAACTCGTATCACCAGCAACCGCGTACAAATGCACGGCTCATACAATATGGACACTCTGATAAATGATATCGCCGTTATTACTATCCAGAACGTTGGTTTCAACAGTAAGTTTAACAGTATAATTTGAACGCTAGAATTCTTTGATAAACGTTAAATGTAAATGCATATCTACATAAAGAGCAAAAAATATTTAATTAATTTTTAATTATAGACAACATCCGGAGCATCAACCTGGCCTCAGGAAGCAATCAGTTGCAATAAAAAAATGAAGGAACGTTGGAATTTAATAAATAAATAGCCATAAACCATCTAGGTCTATTTCGCATCGAATGGTGGTAGTTTCATGTCGATACGATCAGTGGTTTAGGCGTGAAGGAGCCTCAAACGAAGACCATTTTTCTTTTATATATATAGATATTGTCTGTAAATCCATAGAATTGTTTCTTAATCCAACCAGGTTTACGAGCCATGCGTTTTCCACTTGTGTCGACTTTATAATTGTTGGTGCATGGCGCCTGGTTAAAATTTTGTAGCAAAAAGTACTAATGTACGACCGAGTACCTTTTCGCAAGTCACTTCCACACTGCTAAATAATTCTAACCCTTTTTGATCTTGGTGTTGACAATTTCGCCGCCACCCGCTTTTTTCAGAAACATAAGAACTTATTATCTCTTTATTGTAAGTATCATATTAAAGATATGAATTATAAATTTCAGTTCTGAATACAACCCTTTAAATTAGGTATGGGCAACCATTGACATGTTGAGGGCCAAACTTTAGGGTGCAAATACGTTCGCGGGCCGCGTTTAAAAGTACTTAGTGCATTTTAAAGTACCTCGTGATAATATTTTTTGCGATAGATATTAGACATTAAATATTACTACAATGTTATTATAGTACAATTTATTAAAATAACAAAATGAAATGGTACATTATAATTAAATAATTAAATTTTGCAATTCTTACAAACAACGAAAGTACACCGAAAGCAATGCGACACTTGAGCTTGAATTTGGGAAACTAATCCATCGATATTTGGATTAATTCCACTGATACAAAGAATAATAAGTAAATAATTTTCCAAATTATCGTCAGTCAGTCTTGTACGATGTGTTGATTTATTCACTTTCATCAATGAAAAGAACTGTTCGCATTTATATATTTATATAGTACTGCCAGACTCAAATCGAAATGAATCTTGTTGCGAATTTTCTAAGCTGCGGAAAATTTTCTTTTTCTAGGTTTTTTTTTTGTAGAAATCGCACAACTCTACGTCTTCAAATTTGGATTTTTTTTTCTTGAATCTCGATAAACTCCATTTGTAAGTGTATTGGAGTATATTGATCATTACATTTTGTAGGAGTAGCAAATAAACTGAAACAGTCTTCCATGTTTTTGAAGTAGGTATATCTTTTTATATGAAGGTTATCTTTTTATTCAAATACTTTATTGCAAAACACTACAAGCATAAAACAAGAAGGCCCGTAGAATCGTATGGAAAAATAATAAATAACGTGACAAAGTCCTGAGACATTGCAATTTATATAATATATTAAAAAAACTAAAACGAAATTAGTACAGTTGTTACTTCATATATTCAGAAAACCTAGATGTTTCTTATTAAACGACATCGCTTAGTGCATGTATATATAACATTTATATTTAATAAATAAATTTAGTTACATAAATATGTCACCATCAGTCTCTTATTCTCTGAATGTGGTGTCGGGCGTAATTGCAGGATAAGAGGAATAACATGAGGTGCTACAGCACGACTTTAAAAACATATAGCTGGTGTCCCAGTATCACCACTTGGTAATGGTCTATGATGAAAAGTTTTAGGTTCATTAACTAACTGGCAAAATCTCCCTCAAACTTGGCGTTACACAACTGGGCTTAAATCAACTATTTTATATAAAGAGACAGCATTCTCACTACTTTATATGGATCTAACGAAATTGTGCTCATATTGCATATAACACTGATTCGCAAAACTACATAGGCTGCACTAAAAGTATCGGGAATGGAATAATACCACTGTTCCTGTCATATTTAAATCTTTTTAATTGAAAACTCCTTTTTTTTTAAATCGAATACCATTGTTTTTTATTTTTTTTAATTCTCGGTATTTTCACAAAGTTTTGTCAAACTTGTTTAGTCGTTGAGAAAATGGAATTGACTCGAGAAAATTCAAGAGCGATGATTTATTATGTTTTTCGAAGTGCTTTATCACAAAAACAGTGTGTTGACCGGATAATTTCTGCATTTGGTGATGAAGCCCCATCCAAAACCACAATTTATCGCTGGTTTGCTGAATTTCAACGTGGACGTGTCAAGCTCAGTGATGATCCCCGTCAAGGTCGTCCAAAAACTGCAGTCACCAAAGAAAACGTTGATGCTGTGCGTAAGCTGATTGAGGAAGATCGACATGTGACATACCGCGAAATTCAGGCAACTTTAGACATTGGCATGAGTCAAATACAAATAATCTTGCAATGATGAACATTGAACAATTAGGTGTAAAAAAGTTGTTTTCCCGATGGATACCGCATTCGTTCTGTGAAGAGCAAAAAGCGGTTTGCGTTTTGCTTGGTACGTCACGCAGGATCCTCAAATGCTGTATACAACATCGTATCAGGTGACGAATCCTGGATATACGCGTACGAACCCGAAACAAAAAACCAGTCACGAGTTTGGGAGTTCGAAAATGAGTTAAAGCCAACGAAAATTGTTCATTCACGGAGTGTTGCAAAAAAAATGGTGGCCACGTTTGTCTCCAAAACCGGCCATGTTGCGACTATTCATCTTGAGGGACAAAGAACGGTTAATGCAGAATGGTATGCTAGCATTTGTTTGCCACAGGTCGTTTCTGAACTCCGTAAAGAGAACTGCAACCGCCGCATCATCCTCCATCACGACAATGCGAGTTCTCACACCGCGCACTGAACAAAAGAGTTTTTAGAGCAAGAAAACATAGAATTATTAGACCATCCGCCGTACAGCCCCGACCTAAGCCCTAATGATTTCTATACTTTCCCTAAAATAAAGAATAAATTGCGTGGTCAGAGATTTTCATCACCTGAAGAAGCTGTGGACGCCTACAAAACGGCCATTTTGGAGACCCCAACTTCCGAATGGAATGGTTGCTTCAATGATTGGTTCCATCGTATGAAAAATGTGTCAAATTTCGCGGAGAATACTTCAAAAAGCAATAAATACATTTTTAAATAGTAATGTTGTGTCACTTCCTTGATTCCCGAAATTTTCAGTGCCGCCCTCGTACTTTCTGGTTTCAGCTTTCATGAATTGAATGAAATGTTTCTGTTAAATCAATTTATTCATATAGGTAATGATGTATACTTAGTTACTTTAATAAATAGTGGAAATGTGAATCATACATTCTCAATGGAAAGTAAAAACTAAATACTTACGTTAGAAATAATAACAATAATGAGATGGAAAAAATCTCTGCTTGAAACATTTTACTAAGGAGCTGGTAAAGACTTAACGTTATTATTAAGTTAAGTTAAAATAAGTTAAAAAAATAAGTGTATCCGACATGGATTACGGTTTTCACTCCCTACATAATAATAATTAAATATATACATGAATAAATAAGATGGTCTTGACAAATCACCTACGAAGTAACTATTGAAATATTTGATCTGGAGCAAACTGTCGCAGTGATAGTCACTCACTCTTTTAATCTTTAGAAGTTAATTTAGATTAAATGTCTTAATGTTTTTAGTGATGATTCTTTAATCTCGCTTGGGAAGAGTTATACGGACGAAATCAAGGCAACTTGTATGAACAAGAACCTGCAACGACCTACGACTGCAAACCTGAATTCAATATATTGTGTACTGCCTCATTACATAACAGAATTAAAAACCGTTAAATTTTAATAACTTTGGTAGGTTTATGAATTTCCTGGTCATTTACATAAGAAGAGAAAATTGACTTGAGAAGACAGATTTCATAGTTTACGTGTATGCTACGATGTCTACGCATTTGTTATATGAAAAAAGTTTGTTAATTGATTATTAACTTTAATAAAAATCTTTCATATTATATGTTTAAAAAATACTTCAATTTTGTTACGTACTTAATGCAATAATTTGATTGAAAATTATCTAAATTAGATAACCGTAAATAAATGCTTCTGATTATTATTATCATATCATTTTTGTGGTAAAACCCATTGGTGCTCTATAATAAAAATAATGTTTAATTAATTAAATATTATTAACAGATTTAATTTTATTTCAGAGATTTTAGTTCAATAGCCTCACTGTGCATATGACATGGTATTTCTTAGCTTATTTCATGCCTTGTATACACGACTCCTTGCATGTTCCTATAGTGGAATTCCAGCAACTCAAAATTGTTTATTTGGTGGCTAAGAAGCTTCAATAATTAAATTTTAACTAAAATTTACATTATTTAAGTTGGAATTTACGAAACGTTGTTTAATGAGAATTACGTTATTTACTTTTTTCGGTTTATACCAGATTCTCGTACGCTGTCAGTATAATTGTCAATTTTAAATATATAATTATATACTAGCTGCCCCCGCGAACTTCGTTTCTCCTTAATGCCTAGCCTACCTTTTAGTACAGAATGTCGGTTTTCCGGAATGTAAACTTTTTAGGGTTTTCTGTGATTTTTTTATATTTAAACCTCAGAGTTTCAGTTATAAGTTATTAACTAACTAATAAAAAATTAGGGTTGATCGTAGAGGGTAGGTGAAAATTAAGGGTTGTTTGTATTTTAGTATGCTGTATTTAAAAAAAAATTTTTTTGGGGTGGACACCCCTTATCACTTAGGGGTTTGAAAGATAGATAGTAGCCGATTCTCAGACTTTCTGAATATGCATAAAACATTCATAAGAATCGGTCGAGCCGTTTTGGAGGAGTATGGGAACGAACAATGTGACACGAGAATTTTATATATTAGATACTGTTTATACATGTATTTAAAATATTGTGAACTGCGACGATTAAAAAACTTACATTAATAATCATTGATCAATTTATATACCTACTATCTGTTTTATTTGATATTTAAATAAACAAGTTAAATTATTATTTCTACATATCAAAAAACAGAAAGTAAAGGGCGCAATTGAGAAAGATAGGAAACGTCGCAGGCTAATGCTAGTAAATTAAAAATTTAAGCCATTTTAATTGATAGCGTTCTGGCAAACTATCTTTAGGAATTAGGGCTTATCAATGTTTTGTCAATTTTTGCTTATATATAAGCGATTGCAATGTCCATCAACCATTAACACAAATCAGCAACTATGAAACTGTTCTTGGTAGTTCTCGGAGTCACAGCAGCGCTGGCTGCTCCTCCATTGCAGTATGAGCCCATAGTTACTGACTACCATGGACAGATTGGTATGCCGGAGGCTGCCCGCATCAAGGCCTATGAAGAAGCCATGGACTTCGACGGCTCCAGAATTGTCGGTGGAAGCCAAGCAAGCCTTGGACAGTTCCCCTTCTTTGTAAGATAATTATTATAATATTATTACATTTTAATTGAAGATTGCACTACAATTCGTTAAAATTTCTCATTTATTCACACCATGAACAATTCGCGATTTCGAATTCCATAATTTCTTGCAGGGTGGTTTACTTATCAACATGAGAGGTGGCGGTCAATCGGTTTGCGGTTCCACTCTCATCAGCAGCAACAGAGTGCTGACAGCTGCCCACTGCTGGCGAACAAGGCAGTTCCAAGGCCAATCGCTCACTGTAGTGCTTGCATCGATGCGTCTCTTCTCTGGCGGAACTCGTATCACCAGCAACCGCGTACAAATGCACGGCTCATACAATATGGACACTCTGATAAATGATATCGCCGTTATTACTATCCAGAACGTTGGTTTCAACAGTAAGTTTAACAGTATAATTTGAACGCTAGAATTCTTTGATAAACGTTAAATGTAAATGCATATCTACATAAAGAGCAAAAAATATTTAATTAATTTTTAATTATAGACAACATCCGGAGCATCAACCTGGCCTCAGGAAGCAATCAGTTTGCTGGATCAACAGCTACAGCTGTTGGCTTCGGAAGAACCGGTGACTGTACGTATACAATTTTTCTATGAGGGGATAATAAGGGAAACAAGGAGGGTCACTCAAAGTGTTATTCGCTGCCCATTCACACCACCAACTCTAGGAGGCGATTGCTTTGTCGCCATAACTTCGAAAATTGGTATTTTTTCATTCCATTATGGTTAATGGCAGATGCTTCCAGAGAATGTTAGATTTTTAGGATAAAAGTATCTTAAAAGGTGAACTTAGCCATATGTGTATAAATATAGAATTAAAAAAATTATATAGAGATAATCTTGATACTTTAAGTTGAAAGGAGAGATCTATTTTTTCCTGAATCGGTCGCTTGTATAAATAATAATCATACTCAAAACATATTCACAGCAAGCTCGGGAGGAATTACGACCAACCAGGTACTAAGACACGTTAACCTGCCTGTGATGACTAACCAGGATTGTGCCCGTGTTTACGGCACCAGAACCGTCATCGCCTCTACCATTTGCACAGCCGGTTCCAACCGCAACATTTGCAGCGGTGACTCCGGTGGTTCCCTAGTCCTCAACAATGTTTTGGTCAGTATTCTCATAGTAATTATTAAATGTAGATTTCATTATTATGAAAACACTAAACTTGGAATAAATAATAACATTTCCTACAGATCGGAGTGACGTCCTTCGGCGCCGCTGCTGGTTGCGAACGTGGTTTACCATCTGGTTTCGCAAGAGTCAGCTCATTCAACTCCTGGATTCGTTCGCAAATGTGAATGTACTTTACAGAATTTAATTGAAGATTGAATAAATAAAGCATTTATCACAATTTATCATGGCATTAATCTATCTACCAAAAAAGAGATAGGTATATATTATAGGGAAGATGTGTTAACTTATCGCTAGCTATCCTTAGCAATATGATGATACACCTAATGTATTTTTATCAGAATTTATGTATAGCCGAGTTAGCAACTGGCTAACTCTGCTATACATAAATTCTGAGTAATCAGTATAATCAGTATTACATAAACTATATGATACGGACACTCAAACGTCGCTTAGATGTAGTGTCAACCTGGATCTTGATCCTTATGTTATCTGGTTTAGCGTCATCATAACACAAAGGTAACTCGTAACTAGAAACTACTGTATAAAATAGAAAATACTACGAAATAGTGTAAAAAAATCCTTATTTTACCTCTCTAAAATCTTTGGATTTGAAAAGAATCTTATAAAATCCGCAACGTTAGCATACTTCAGATAGCAAGTACAATCTAATGAATCTTTGAAACTACCTTCTCGTTAAGAATTTCTCAAATCACGTACAAAGTGTTGCCCTCACTGAGATAGTTAGACTGAGATGCGTACACGCAACGCACTCATAGCGCGCGGCTAATAAAGTTGCACAAAGCGAAGTTGCACCAAGATCATGCCGTGCATGCCACGGGGAGTACATTCTAGCGACCGGCTTACAATCAGGGTCCGCTGTTGGAGGGGTCCAGTCGCACATCCGTAGAGGCTCCAGTCAAAGTACCTAATCTTGCGCTAATCGCGGGAAAAGGTCCATTACAGCTGAACTATGCTCGACAAAAATTACAATTTTTATAAAAAAAAGTGCGTTCGTACAAAGTAGGTACCTACACATGTCAGAAGTGAAATTTCTTTTGCAAACTCTTGTTCATATTTATATAAATCCAAAACTTTAGATTTCCGAGACTTAGAGGGAGGGAAAAGGGAAGATATGTTAGGAATTTAATGGTCATTAAAATATTAAGTGTCGCAAATTAATACAAATAATAAATTTAATTTTTTTTTTATAAAAACGTGGCTTTTTAATTTACAATTCATCATTTGAGATTTCAATAAATTATTTTTCATAAAATATAAAATACTAATATTTCATTAATTCTCTTTACAAAGTTTTAATTTTAAAAATAGAATTTCTATAAGGTGTTTCACCCATCTCACTCTCTCTCAATCGGTCTCAATCGCTCTCTCCCTTTTCTTCGACAAAAACGCTGCACATCTTCGTGACGTTCCGTAAAAAATTTACCCTCATGCGCCTAAAGAAGTTTCACTTTAAAAGTATGGCAATCGCTAGCTAGATTTCTGCTCTTGAATCTTTCCCACGTCCCTTTCGTTCTTCTTCTTCTTATAGTGCCATCTCCTTGCGAAGGTTGGCGATCATCATGGCTATTTTAATTTTGGATGCTTAATTTCGTTAGGTTACTTCATATTGTATGTTTCTACTGTAATGTACTCAATATTATTTCAAGAAGAAACTAAAGCACTTTCTTAGGCACAATTCAGTTTAATTCTGAACACGCCCTTAAATAATGTTTTATTTTAATTAAATAAATATACCGTACAGTACAGTACAGTACAATTTTCTTAACCTACATAGGTATTATAATAATAATTACAAATTAAAGGTTTGGTCCCCGTGGCAGTGTACCTTCAGGATTTTTTCAAACGCTGTATTGCGATACTTATTCGTTGATCGAGGAAAGCAACAGCACTGGGGTCACCGGTACTATCTACCAGGCGCTCACTTAAGTCTTCAATTAGCGCCTGAGCACTTGAATCTCACGGCCCAAGAGTCTCTACTCCAAAGAGAACAAAATCAAAGTTGTAAACAATATTATATTAATGTTCTAAGAAACATAAAGTGTTTCTCATTATTAGTATAACTTATACACGAATAGCTATAAGACAATAAGACAAGCAGTCGAATCAAATGATAAAGATAGATATGACAATCGGTCTAAATCGCGTATTCTAACTTCTAACGTCTTCCATTCAAACACTTTGCCCCATAATATCCTACATTTGCCAGCTTATAAGGTAGCATACCGGCCTTAATGCTAACGGGAAGTAATTTTTCCTCTGAAAATAGCTCTAGAAACCAAGTTTTAAGTCCAACAATAAATTTATGAAAAAAAAAGCACACAAATGTTGCTTTATACGAATTTGCCTTATTTATCTTCAAGGCATGTATCATATTATAATTGATTTCTGATGATTAAAATAACAAAATTACATGGCGACGTATAATATATAATCTGTAGCGTAGTTTATCCCGTTGCCATGATAATTTTTTAGGGCTCAACGATCTAAAACGATTTGCAAAATTTAAATTACATCTGTTAAGCCTTATATGAGCCGTATATATTAGGTCCTTACATATGAAATTGGCGTTTTGTATGGGAGGAACAAAAAGTCTAATATTTTTAAATATAATATATTTAATTAATCAAAGTATGAACCATTGTTTTCTATGCACTTTTGCACACACACATCTCATAGGTAGTTCATTGATTCCTTTACTAAAAAACCCAGTCGGACGGGAATCAATAAAATCTGTGAAGGCGATTTGGACTGCCCCATCAGAGTTAAATTTTTTCCCTTGCAAGAAGTTGTCCAAATTTCGAAAAAAATGGTAATCTGTTGGAGCAAGGTCCGGGGAGTACGGAGGATGTCTTAGACATTCCAATTGAAGCTCTTCTAATTTGGTAGCCGTTTGTTGTGCAGTGTGTGGACTAGCGTTGTCGTGAAGTAGCAGTGGCGTGGAGCGATTGACCAGCCTAGGTTGTTTAGCCGCTAGCTTTTCCATCATGGTTTGCAATTGCTGACAATAGACATCAGCCGTAATAGTCTGGCCAGATTTGAGAAAACTGCAATGAACAATACTGGCACTAGTCCACCAAACGCTTACAAGTAGCTTTTTTGGGGTTAATTTACGCTTGGGGCAGGATTTGGCTGGCTGGCCAGGATCCAACCATTGCGCTGAGCGCTTCCGATTATCGTAAAGAATCCATTTTTCATCACAGGTAAAGATTCGGTTTAAAATACCTTCATAATTGTGCCGGTTCAGTAATGTAACGCAGCAGTCGACGCGCGTTTGCCGGTTTGCTTCAGTCGATTCGTGAGGTACCCATCTTTCAAGCTTTTTAATCTTCCCAATTTGCTTCAAGTGAATTAAAACAGTTTTATCACTAACACCGCAGCCTGCAGCTAACTCGGACGTGGTTTGCGATGGATCCGCTTCCACAATAGCCTTCAATACTTCATTATCAACTTGGGTCTCAGGCCGTCCACGGGGCTTGTTCTGCAGGTCGAAATTTCCAGAACGAAAACGTTGGAACCAAAAACGAACTGTGTTTTATTTTGCAACATGACCGCCATACACATCATTCACCCTTCGAGTCGTTTCCGCAGCACTAGTGCCACGGCGGAACTTGTTCTCGTAAATAATGCGATACTTTAAGTTTTCCATTTTGTAAAATGAGTGAAGCAAACAGAAAAAAACAAATGAATGACGGTCATCGAAGCACAAATACATGAGTAAATAGCTGTACAAATTTGAATTTGGAATTCCTTACCAAAGAGGAGAACATCGTGATTAAAGTGGCCAGTACGAAAAACGCCAATTTCATATGTAAGGACCTAATATAATGTTTATTCGTTTCTACAACAAACAACATGTACCTATGTAGTAATAATACAATACATAGTTCCCATTGACATTTTTTACGCCGTTGCCGTTTAGTGTTACGCTTTAATAGTAGAAGGCAAATGACCCCCGAGGGCCATCTCCCGCCCTGCCCTTCTTACTTTTTGACCTCTGAGTCGAGGTTATGTTATTTTTCCAGGCGCAGGTGCTGATCTCATATGCGCGCGTATCAATTTTAAGTCTTACGAATGAAGAAGTTTTGATTTGTAAAAAACCCAATATGAATTAATAAATGATGTGGTAATAGTAGCTTAAAAAAAACTACTAGTAGAAACACCAATAAACATATAGGTACAAATAATATAAATAGGCGCAAATAAATGTGAATTATTTTTAATAACAACAAATATAATTTTTTTAGACACCACTAAAAGTTAAGCGTAAAAGTGAAGTGCCACAAATAGTAGTAAAAAACCACGGAAACAGCAGTAAGTTTCTTACTAAAACCTTAATATTGTATTTATTCCAAACGTGCATTTTATTCTAAAGAGGATTACTTTTTATTTAACAAGAACTTGTAAGTCATAAAATAATAATTTCCATACACAAAATAATTGTCATACATGCAGTATTAAGTAGATCGACTCATTTGTTATGATAGGTTATTATAAAAAAAAAATAGTTCAATGCTCAAAATTATTTGATGTCGGAGAGAGTTCTTGTTCAAAAATAATCGCGCGCCACTTCGTGCTTTGCACTTTACATCTGAATGTAAGATAACAAAATCATAATATGACAACGAAACATAACATAACATATATCTTAGTTAGTGTGTACTCAAGGAATTACATTTTGCAATAATAATAATATTTTGCAATTTTGGTATTGTTTTCTAGTTTGATACGCCAAATGCATTAATAGCATTGTAATAACATGTATTTATATAGCATTACATAGTTATATTTGCAGTGCATGAATCAGTGTACCTGTATATGTATAATATAATGGGATGTAAGATTTTGAAGAAGCAGAAGATACTAACTATAATTGAAAAAAAAAATAGATCTTACAAAAAGAAATGATATAACATCAAAAACATAACTTGTAAAAAAACAAGTCTCGCAACTAAGTCCTCCTACCGGACAAAGGTGAGATCCATGTCATACCGGGTCGGTTAATTTATTCATTCCCTATTAAGGGACCTTCTGTCTTAAGTGATTAGGTGTAATGGTTGCAGTTCCGTACAACGTTGTGTAAAAAAAAACATGGCGATTAAAAAGAGTGGCGGAGAGTTATTGCCAGTTCTTCTCTTCCGTTCTAGGCCCTTAATTTGAGAACTGGCACTAAATGTAAAGCATTACATTTACATTTCTTTTTTTGACGTTCATAAGTGAACATTGTGTTACCTATAATATGATTAAATGATTTTTTATTTTTTAGTTCACTTTACTTTAGGTAATTAGCTAATCTAACAAGATTCGATGTCAATATTAAAAATCTTTTATGTTTTAAATAAATACATTGACTTGGCCATTGTATGAAAACACAATGTTACACGCTATCTCACTGTATATGTTTGAATGTGTACAGGGAGACGCTTATCTGTTTTTTCTATTTATTCCACTATATTTTATTTATTTGTTTATTTTGTTTTTGTCTAGTCACGGTCTGCAGTTTCGTTTCATATTGGAACATAGCAATTCTTTTACATTATTGATTGCTTAACACAATTAGCTATTGATGTAATCATTAATTTCAATTTAAAGTAATATTTTATCTAAATGTGTGTACATATCCAAACTTACAAATTTTCCATTGTAAATTGTTCAAAAAGATGCTTACCTACCTACATGTAAGAATGTATTTATAATCAATTAGGTACTTCTAGATATGTTTGTTTCTAAAAAGTTGTTTTGCTCGCTTCGCATCCCGCAGACGACGATTGCTGAAAAGCTCTCTAAACATCCATTCATATAATAAATTCGCGAAATTTTATTTAAACACTAGCGGACCCGTCAGACGTTATCCTGCAGGATGTTTCAAGCGGTTAGGATTATAAACAAAGTATGAAAGTACCGACTGCAGCGCCATCTGCCTGGCTGGTTTGTGAATCTAAACCATCATTCAAATCGGTCCATTTAACATCTACGCTAATAAATATAATTACTTAGTTACTGTGATAAATACTTTTGATATCTAGATTAAATAATTTTAAATCATCGAAATTCATATCATCGTTTGCGCATAATTAAAAAAATAAATTGTTTTTTAAATATTATAGTTCGTTAATATTGAGGTAACGAACCTCAGTCAGTGTAGAATAAATTATAGGTAGTTTATAGTCCGTCTACTTAAAGGCCGCTATGGAGCGGTGATATAGGGCGGAAACATGGCGTTCCATTTTTGAATTTTGGCCGAAACATAAACTGAATTGTTGAGTAACCGGCGCTATGCTTAAAAATTGTGAGTATGGTTTTGAAATTTTATTGGGTCAAAGATCTAGGAAAAAATATGAAATCCGGAACTTTTGACAGTAAATATCTGTTTCATACTTACCTAAATAAAGACACTAAATTCATATATGGTATCCAATTTTTTAATAACACTTGAAGAAACTAGCGTTTAAGATACAGGGTAGGCCTAGTTTAAACGCTAGTGCTCATAGAAGTATATTATGCATAAGGTTAACTAACCACAATTAATATTGTATCTCAACAATTCGTAGCCTAGTGTATGTTTAAAATCTTAAATGTAAGTACAAAATGTTATGTTTTTGAGTCAAATAAAGTAATTTTTATTATTTATTTATTATTATTCCACTTGCTTCCTCGGAGACGCTAACAGCCTCACTAAACAGAAATAAGATGTTTTTACAAAAGTTGTAGCAAACCTTGAACAATTGATAGTGTATATTTGAAAATGGCCAGTGTAACGCGAGACGGATAATAAATGATATACTAATGAATTATTATAATGATTAATAATTGTATATGAATCGTGCATCGAATCCACCAACCGAACAACTGAACTAACCAATTACAACGTAGAAACAGACAAAGACAAGTAAACTCACTTTTCGAATGCCAAATCGTAAAATGACTGCTTTACGACAAATTTGAGCGCGACCGCCGCTGTGAAAACCGCTGTGTGAGTTCGAAAAGTGAGTTACAGTCGCAAGGCTGCATTAAAATAAATTGCGATTTACTTTTATTCTCAGATCGCCATTCCTAGAAATGACAACTAGGAATAGTATAGAAGTGTTTCCTAATACAAAAAGTTGGACGTGTCTCCTAATCGAGTGGACCGATTGTGATCGAGATGGCTCAACAGTTCTATTCTTTCTGTTAAATGCGGTAGTATGGGTGATAATTTTATTTCAAATAAATCACAGTACTCGCACAAATATAAGAGTCTTTCCTCAAACTTCGATTTTGTTCCCTTTGGAGTAGAGACTCTTGGGCCGTGTGGTTCAAGTGGGAAAACTTCGCGATGGATATCCAACAATAAAAAAATTATGTCATTTACTTTTTACGACAAATAATGGTTAATTTTCGAAGCGATTTTAACCAATACAGCATTAATCCTTATCAAATTAAATACCTTAAATACATTGTTGATTTAATATAGATGTATATGGCCCTTTACAGCATATGATTTAAATGAATATTTTCGAAGATATTACAAATTAAAAAATCGCATCTGCATCCGTGCGAAGCCGGGGCGGGTCGCTAGTAATAAATAAACCTAAAAAAATACTGTATGCTTATGAGTGATTGTGTGTTTTTGTATGAGATTATTATCTTAATATATATAAATTACGTGTCACGTTGTTTGTCCGCTATGGACTCCTAAACTACCGAACCAATATCAATCAAATTTGCACACCGTGTGTAGTTTGATCTAACTTAAAAGATAGGATAGCTTACATCTCAATTTATACCCGCAATATTATTTTATTTTGAAACATTTGTTTATTATTTGATAGTCACAATTCTAACAGATGGCGCTGTGTTGAAAGTACCAACGTTCCACATAAGCTACAATTTAATGGCATATCCATTACCCACCAAAAAAGCATGGTGGACTCCATGACTGGTGTTCTCCTACCGTTTCCCTTGAATAGTTTACTACTATGTAATACATTTATAACAAAAACCTTAGCCACAGCAACGCTTGGCCGGTCTATTAGTATATTATATATTACGTACATGCGCTGTCTTGTTATTAGATAAATGCATAAGACTAACATTGGATCGATTTATAGACAACGCAATCCTCATCATTTCCTCTCTTATCCAGGAAGTTAACACCTTTGGAGGAATGAACCAACAGGAAATGTTAGTGTACCCATAGGCGGAAAATATTATCTAATTGATAGTCATGTATTTTTTGTGTGTCATTGTATTAACAAGGTAATTATATCTTTACAATCTAAGTTTTGATTAGTATTTTTCAGAGGTATATAAAAGGGGTCGATATCAGTAGACTATAGTTTAGCTTTGTTCGCCACGATGAAACTGTTTCTTGTAATTCTCGGAGTCACAGCGGCTTTTGCCGTTCCTCACCAAGAGTCAATTGAACTGGACTACCATGGCAAGATCGGTATCCCGATGGCCGCCCGCATCAAGGCCGCTGAAGAGGCAACTGACTTCGACGGCTCTAGAATCGTCGGTGGATCCCCATCGGAACTTGGAGATTTCCCTTACGTGGTATGTCTAGCGTTTAAAATCTTCAGTACCATGTCCATGACCACTTCATTAGTCTTTATGAGTTGATACCTCCCAATTATTTTGATTATAATATGTAAATATCCTTATTATATTCTTATGTTTAATAGGGAGGTGTTATAGTTAACTTGGTCTCTGGAGGACAGTCAGTGTGTGGATCTGCTCTTATTTCTGCAAACAGAGCCTTAACTGCAGCTCACTGCTGGACAACTGGCTCTCACGAGGGTATTCTTCTCACCGTTGTCTTCGGTTCCAAACGTCTGTTCTCTGGTGGTCAGCGTGTCATCACCAACAATGTCCAAGTCCACTCTGAATACAACACAGTCACCCGTGCCAACGATATTGCTGTGCTCGTTCTTCCTAATGTTGCTTCCTCAGGTATATTATGTTTTTATTTCTCTTCTTTTGTATTAAAAGACATTTATCGTTTTTCGTAGACAATAAATGTAACTTTTAACGTTCCTAATAATTTTTATAATATGGTACAAATCATTTTCAATAAAGGTAGAAATGATATACTTATGTATATTTTACTGACCACGACGATGTTAAGTGAATAAAAGTTAATATGAACAATTTGTATATTTCAGAATACATCAAACCCATCTCCATCGCCAGCGGCAACAACCTATACAATGGTGTAGTCGCTAGCGCAGCTGGTTTCGGTATCGTGTGTAAGTAGCATTTGAACACAGCTTATTAACACTTAGTAATACACCAACATCACTCCTGTATAACATAAGCCAAAACTTTAATGTCAATTAGTGATTTTGCTTAACGCGTTCTACTTTAAAGTTGACTTGTTCATGTTTCAGCTGACGGAACTCCGATTACGACTGGACAGACCTTGAACAACGTTGACTTGACTGTGATTAGCAACCAAGAGTGCGCGCGTACGTTTGCTGCCTTTGTTGTTAGCTCAACCCTGTGTGTCAGTGGTGCCAACGGCAAAAGTACCTGCAGTGGTGATGGTGGTAGCCCTCTGGTCGTCAACGACCAATTGGTAAGGATATTTTAATGATATCTAATTTTCATGATTATTTATTATTCATGAACGTATACAAAACACATGCTTTTAAAGATTTTTACTATCTCGAAAGTCCGAAGGATTATTATTTAGTATATTATTATATAGTAAATAATTAATATAACAATATAAATCTGAAGATAAAAATTATCACATATAAAGTTTTTAGTAATTTAAATACATATAATTTGATAAGGATAGCACAAAAACATTATATTTTTAATCAGCTAATAAAGAGCTTTACATATTTCAACAAAATTTATTCAAACAAATTTCATCTACCTACAGATTGGACTTGCATCATTCCAATCTAGCTCTGGCTGCCAACGCAACTTGCCAGCTGGTTTCACCAGAATAACATCCTACAACACCTGGATCCGCTCTCGATTGTAATTAAAATAAATTTAAATTTATTTAATATCTGTATTTTATTTTCTTCATTTATTTATTTACTAAGGAACCAATAAATACTTATATTTATATAGTCTCGAAAAATACGATTGAAAAGTATAAACTACCGTATGAATGGAATATGGTTGGTCCCGGCTTCGCAAGACTGGAAAATTATGTTGACTTTCCCCCTAAATCATGGGGAGTCAGATTCCCTAAATAATAATAATGATTTATTTCAGAGCATATCCATATGCAGTTTTAGTTTTTTTTATTAGTAAACAAAACAAAAAACTCATATAGTGGTCTAAGACAGCATACCGACGTCACAAAATATGTTTTTTGTGATCAACACATTCAGGATACCATCGGTGCTATGTCCAAATGTTAAACCAATGAAAAACCTAATGCAAAACCGTCAGTCCGTCAATTCGGGTCACGGCAAACATACATGACGCACTGTAGAATCTCAACAAGCCCAATTGCAGCAACCCAAACGTGTTGTTGGAGCGTATTCAACGCCTTCTATATAAAACGGGTCCATAGGCTGCACCAGTAAAATGACTGTCTATACGCCTTGAACGATAGCTTTGACTTCTGTTGAGTTACGTGCTAACCTCCGGGCCAGCATATTACCCCTAAGGGCTAACGCTCTTCTTTCTCGCTCCAGATCAGCTCCATCAGAGAAATCAATCAGCAACACTGGTGGAACTGTATCAACTTCATAATCGCACGACTGAAATACTAACTATTATTGTATTGTATCTGTGACTATGAGCCGCTGCGAACTCTTCACATATTTTTAAAAGCTTTTTGTTGGCACCTAGTGAGGGAGCCAATAGAACCATATCGACATATGAATAATATTATCGTCAAATGTGCCACCTACTGAACAGCCTACACCACTATATCCTACTCTTCTAATCTTACTCTACATCCCAAATTAATGAAAAAGTTTCACAATTTCCTCCGGATCACCAGTTCTTGTTCTTAGCCATAACAGGTCATAAGAAATGAAACAATCGCTTTTAAAAATCCAGAAAGCACGCAAACAGATGTTCTTCCGTTGATATAATACTGAACAGTCTGCGTGAGACAGTTTCTGTGATAAGCCGGATCTAAAAACAAACTAGTCCCAAATCATAGTCCACCAAACCCTCAAAACCCCGCGCAATAGGCCAAATCATTAATTTTTTATATTTTTGCAATAATAACTAAATCCGCCGTGGACTGTCTTGGACTACATAGTGCCGTCAGGCTCCTTAGCCTGGTTCTAAGTGACACATCATAAAATGTGAGTCTCTGCGTGTTGGATCTGTAAACATCTGTATGTCCCCACGTAAGCTTTCTAAAGGACCGGACATAAGATACATAATAATAATAAACTATTTACTTTAAAAAAAAGCAATATAATAATTGAAATCAATTTTGTGGAGGGATATTACCAAGCGAGCCGTCCGCGTGACGAGTTAAACGCTGTGATTACACACCGATTTGCCTATCATTTTTGATAGGGCGACATTCGCGAATTGCATATGCATTTAATCGACCATTACTGATGTTAACGGTCAGCTGAAAACGCAGATAAGTAATGTATAATTTTTTGCCATATTTTTTACGATAAGTAATCTGTTTCAATGTTGTTTTAAGAGATAAAGCGCCTTAAATGACTATAAAAGAGATAAATATAAAAATAACTAAGTAGATAAAAAAATATCTGCGTAGAAATAGCTAATCATATTGTTAAGTAATAAAATACATGAGATATGGTGACGATTAATCTAAACGTTGAAGCTGAGTTCGTTTATTATTAGATTTTTTTATATTAATGAGACGCCATCAAACTTTCAATTTTATAAAAGTATTGTGATGTCAATCAAATTGTTTAACGCTTTAATATTCATAAGAAACTTTCCAAAAAGGTTTTTTGTATTTTTTTTCTGTCGGTACGTGAATATTTTAAGTATTATGTTATATATAAGTAACATAATTCGTTTTGGCAAATACTCGTATAAGCTCCAAGTTAGATTACGCCACCCGGTTGAAAACGCATATTTAAATATAATAGGTGAATATTTGATAATGTCAATGGCATTTGCAAAAAATCTCTCTATACCCTTGTTGTTATGGGTATTTATTGGCACTGCGGCTGCGTGGGATTTGCGATTTGTACTGGACTACTTTAGAAGACGAGACATCAGACATCTATGTCTTCTGCATTGCACCTCACCTCACGGTAGGCTATGAAGTACTTATCCTATACTACACACGAAAATGTAAAAATAAATCTTTTCAGACGAATTAACTCTAGGTCACACATTCATTGATAACAATGTCAGAATATCAACGTGCAGGATTAATAAAGATATAACGAAAATAGAAAGTGTATTACGAAAACAGTCTGTTCCCGTTGGTGTGTTATTGAACGGATCGTGTGATAACACATATAATATACTAGATAAGGTAATTAATATAATATTTATAATTAAAGAAAACTAGCTGTTCTCTGCGGATTCATCCGCAGTTATCCTGTCAAAGCATAATATCCTATGTCCTAAAGCCTTCCTCGGTATATGGACTAATGAATTTAAATATTAGACATATGGTATTGGTAAAAAATTTGACATAATATGTTCAGTATGATGATGAAAGATTTTTTAAATCGTTCTAGTAGTTTTGGAACCTATTTAATGCAAACAAACAAACAATAGGTTTACCGGGATATGGTAGGTACCTACCAACATAATATTATTTAGGAACATGTACCTTCTTATACTTAAAAATGAATCAATTATTTACATAGAACATAAATATACAATTTGACAGAGACAATAGAATATGCTCTTTGCATTTTAGATTATTTAGTTTGCATTAAAGAGTCTATTAAAAAAACTCTATAAAAATTCAATTCGTGTTCGAAATCGATTTTACCCAAGCTTTACAAACTATAAATGCTCGTAGTTAACCATTTAATGACGATATTACAGTCATCGAAGAGCGGTCTGTTCGACGCGATGCATATTTGGCTCATTTTAGAGCACACCAGTGCTACACGGAACATGACTATTGATGATATGATGCAACAAATGAATTTGAGTGTCGATTCCGATATTGCATTAGCTACTTTTACGGGTAAAAACCAATTTTGTAATTATACTTGCCCCCTTACTGATAAAAAGGACTGAGTTGTTAATTAAACTCTTCTTATTTAAATCACTCTGATAAAAAATAAAATAGTGTCGTGGGCGTCCATTTAACTAACAATTTCCTTCAAATTCCCCAACATAATTAAAATAATTCGTCCATTTAAACATAAATAAAATAATCTTGTTGTATGTATATTAATTAAAACACAGTTGATCATGAACATCCGCTGTCACGGTCTGTTAATAGGTTCCGAGTGTGTTTTTAATGTTGCGGTTTCTTTAAGCCCCTAATCGCCCGTTTATGGGTAACAGGGTTTATATTAAAGACTTTAATAAAATGACCTTTTGCTATACAAGTTCAATCAAAATTAATAAAGCGATTCCCAAAAATATTATGCAAATGCGCCAATGACAATTCAATGAAAATTGGTAATAGTCGTTCGGTTTTATTTTGCAGGAAGCCGTTACGAGCTAACGGATATATTTAACTTTGGCAAGATACAGGGAAACGAGTTGGAGAGAACATTCTTGGGGACTTGGGACCAGACGAACGGTCTGGATATTTTAATTTATTATTATTCGGTTCTGTAGATTTTGAAAAGTAGATAATGATGTTTAGAGTTGATTTAATTTTTCTAAATTATTTTTATTTTATTATTAATTCAGAAAGACTTGATTTTATACTTGTAAACCCCAATGCACCCTTTGCCATTAAAGTTTTGGTAGGGCATCGCTATTTCAAAATTTTATAAAGCACTAAAAACAACTTGAATATCCTACCTCGAAATGTCGAGAATATAATATATTTTAATTAATTACCTACCCGAGATCTACTTTATCGAAACTGAAATCCGCTATTAATTTATAAATAATTCATAAATTCAATATCGCTAAAACCATTAGCTAGTTAGAAATACTTTTGTACGCATTTATACTATGTATTTTGTTAAGCCCTAGCATTTAAAATGTAATTTTTCTAATCACTTAGGTCTGAAGATTCCTTCGAGATCATTCAAACTTTATGATCGCTGGGATTTCCACAATCTGACGTTGCGAGTTGTCACTGTGGTACGTCATATAATTTAAATGAATTATTATTATTCACTGAATAAGGTTTTAAGTATTGAACAATAATAAGTACATGATGGATAGAACAAGCAAGTAGGGTACATTTAGAGCAAAGCTCCGTCGAATTTTAAACGTAAACGAAGTGATGTTGTCATATGAACCTTACTGATATTTATAAGAGTGCGACTTTTAAGTTTGAGTTCACGTGGTCCAACCCCGTCTTGCACAAATATTTTTCCACTTTTTAAACTCGCTACGTCCTGCAGACGTACATACAGCTACGGAAAACTGAGGTCAAAATCAATAGTAGCTCCCCTGTTTTTTTAACAAACATTATTTAAAATGAATTTATATAATATGATTGTAGGTCGTGGGTCAGCCAAAAACATTTGAGCCAGAAATGCTTACAAGCTTATCTTATACAAAGGGAATATCAGTTTTTACAAAAACAGCTGCGATCCTACTTGACGTTTTAAAGGAAAAACACAACTTTAGGTAGTGGTTCATAATTACTGTTTTTGTTTATCACTAAATAAATGCTTAACCAACTCTTTCTGCGTATCTCTGATTGTTTTTCTTTATCGATAATTTCCAAAGCGGCAAGATCATCATTTTAAATTTTATCGTAAAATCGATGCAATCATGTCGATTATAAAACACCTGATTGATTGTTTTTGTTGTAAGTACTAAACACTAAATAAGAACTTATGTTTAATGGTTCAAAGACAAAACGGTTTTATAGGTTCAACTATACTGTAGCTGGAAGATGGATCGGACCTCCACACAAAAATGCTTCATTAGTAAGTTGCTTAGTTATTAGGTGCAAAATCTTGTACCAACATTTAAACGAAAGTTTGATTATGATATTGCGAAGGCAGTGACGAATTCGCTGTACTGGGGTCAACAAGATCTCTCCTGCACTTCAGCCAGAATCACGTCGGAGCGACTTCAATGGGTGGACATTTTTAACCCACCTGTCACACAACTAGAGTAAGTTGTTATCATTTATTCTTAAGTTAAAGTTAATAATTAATAGAAGTACCATATATATCCATATAACTGAGACGGTAGCCTATCCTTAAGCAATGTTCTAAAGTGTTTACGATCTTTCAGATCCCGATTTTTCTACCTTATACCAAATAAAGGCATAGGTAACTATGAGAACAAATTTCTGACTCCTCTCTCCCCAGCGGTTTGGTGGTGCTCTGTGGGTGCTGGTATCTTTTGTGTTCTGGTGCTGGCTATAGCAGCTGTTTTGGAACGCAGACCTAGGCCAGCGATCTATGCTGTGCTTAGTGTACTGGGGGCGGTGTGTCAACAGGGTATTTATTACGTACATTTAAATGAAATTACTTTGTGATTGTCAATTGAAATAACGTTTTAATAATAAGCAAGACATATTCGTATTGCTGCGTGCCCCTACTCTGTAACTTCAGTATAGTGATATCGAGATCGACGTTTTTTTACGGAATTATGGTGTAGTTCTCTTCATATACATAGTGCTGACATCGCAGCCTCATCGGACGGTACAAAAACTCTCCATTGAAGTCTGAATCGCAATCGCTATTGCAATTGAGATGAGTATAAAACTTAAACGCGAAATCAAAGTGTGGCCGTCGAGGTACAATAAATATAGTAGTACTTATGTTAAAAGTGGTGGTAAATTTAAAGGATATGGGTGTACTATCGCGTACTCTATAATATTTGTTTAAAATACTTAAAAATAGCAGGATTCTTTTGTAAATTAATGTTTGTCTATAATATTTTAGGTTACGAAGAGGGGACGGGAATCGTTGAACACCGATATTCGTGTCAAGGTAGAAAAAAGTTTTCTATAGTTCTGTAGTTTGAATAAATTACATTTGTATTATAAATTAACGTATTTTATAGGTCAACGTGTGACTCTATTAGTCATAGGCTTGACAAGTATGCTACTATACAACTACTATACAAGTAGCGTAGTATCTTGGCTTCTTAGTGCCGCGCCACCCACTCTGTCAGATATAGATGGACTTATTAGGAGTGACTTTGAGCTTATTTTTGAGGATATAGGATACACAACAGGCTGGTTTGAGGTAAATGGTCATATTATATTTTAATTTAAAGAAGGGCATTCTGTTATTACTCTGTTATGTTTTTGCGCTAGGTTTTGTATCATACGTTTTACGTACAGGATTATACGTTTTGACCTTCCTGTAGTTTTTAAATTTATTGCGTTTGATAACGATAACGTGCTTCGAAAATGATAAAAGTTATAATTATTGTATTTTATGCAAAGGACGCAGGTTTTTTTTACTACAGAGGATATAAAGACCCCAAAGAGGATGAGCTGAGAGAAAAGGTGAGAAATACAAAGCGTACCAAGGACTTGTACCAAACTGTCGAGTATGGAATTGAGCTCATTCGCACAGGAGGTAACACGATTTCAAAACATACCACGTTTTAACAAGGCGAAAATCTTGAACAATTAAAAAAAATAAACAAAACCCAACTCCGCTAGTTTTAAGACCCAAAAAACCTCCGAAACGAGTAGCTTTCTGTAACCGCAGGTGTTTCAGTATACAAATTGATTTAATTTTGTTAAATCTGTCAAATTCACTACTTCGTGCTGCTTTACAGGACTCAAAAGTTCAAATCACCAAATGCTTTTTAGATGCTGTTTCCCAGATACTGCTATAAATTACTTAATTGATTTTTTTATAAAAGGTTATATTTTATCGAAAAACAACCAACTTTATTACAAAATTATAAAAATTTAAATTAAATTGCAACCTAAAAATTCGAAATATAATTATTTAAACATTCATATAATTATAATAGGAAATGCGCCATAATATAAGATATTTGTTATTCACTAGCGAATACATGATATATATGCATATTCCACAGATTACGCATATCACACAGAACCCTACTCCGCGTATCAAACAATCTCACGTACATTTGTCGACTCAGAATTGTGCCGACTGGGATCATTACCCATGATATATCCCTCTCCTGTCTATATCATGACACAGAAGAGAAGCTCTTATAAAGAGTTCTTCAATTGGAGGTAATTTCCACGACAAATTATTCTCGAACCCCGAACCTTGATCTCAGATTCGATAATGTTCCATATGATAGCATAAGACCTAAGAAGATTACACAATTTAATGCCACGATAAAATATCTTTTAAATAACGATGATTAATAATTATTTTATAGATACGATAATATACACTATCTAAAATCTTAATTAACTGATTAAAGCCTTAGCGACTGTTTAGTTTGTATAAACTATGCCTTTTATTTTTTACTTGTATTTGATTTTAATTTATTATAAAAACAAATTACGAGTATGTTAGATAAGTACGAACTATTGGGGTGTAATTAAGATATTAAAGTAGTTAGAGATGTCTCTTTTTGTATTTTTCTACAACAAAAAAGTCGGATGTCGTAGTTATAATGGTAATGGAATGTGTGACAACACAAATAAATAAACCTTGAATATATATTTGTGTTGTCACACATTATTCACTTAATAGTTTCAGCTCCTTTCAAGTGTGTTTCTGAGAGTGTTATTTTAAAATATAATAACAGTCCCCCGTTAGGCTGACACCAGCAACGCATATCATTGCAAGCTAATAGGTATATTATATATTTATTTCGATGTGTAATTTTTAACAAATGTGATTACTAAAAAGGTTTAAGTGAGTTGATAGGTTTTCTTTTCTTTTAGAACTTTTAAAGATAAACAATTTTACTTTACAAGTTTACGCACCGCAGTCCGTACAAGTTGTCAGGTATGCAGTGACTATTGATACTTTATCGTCCTTTTTCTTTCAGCTTATGTTGAGTATGTAACACACCAGTTATAATGATTTCTTATGTAACTTAAATATTTTTTTTATAGTTTAATGCGCCTTAGCGAGAGGGGTCATATAAAAGCGGCTCAGGCGCGAGTGGCCGGGTTCATAGCGACATGCTCGGGCAGCACACCACGGGCTCTTGCGCTCGGGCAGGCAGCTCCAGCTTTTGGTCTACTGGCATCTATCACTATAGTAGCAGTTTTCATAATGCTTTTGGAGATTCTGTGGCATCGGTAAAATTTTTAGAAATAAAAATTTGGTTTACAGTAAAGTCGGTTTACGGACGAAAACATTGATGAAAATACTATGCATACTTAAGAATTGAATTGAATGATTATTATCACTAAATCATAATTATTTTGTATAATTCAAAGGTTAATTGAAAATTAATTTTTTTCGATAAATTAACTAACTCACGAACTCGCTAATTAAAATTTTCTTTACTTGAATTATAAAGATTAATTACAAGTAACAATGTGCTATTAGCAACTTAGGATAAATGCGTCACAAGGCAAACACTTAGGATGGTCGTGCCTCTCTATTGCTTGTTCCGTGCTCTTGCTTGCACGCTCGGCTCAGGCGAAACGTGACAATGAGTCATGTTTTTTCGTGCGTGCAGCCGGCTTTCATTGATTTATAAGACGTTATCGCGTCAAAAAGAGTGAAAAGTAAATTACCAAAACTAACGTATTATAATAATTATTATCTGTGGGGAGAGTAAAAGAAAATACCAGAGTCTTTACCAAAAACTATATGATGTTACCTAAGCGTACAAATAAATATAAATTATGTTTGGAGTCCGTAATCTTATTTATCAATAAATATATATCTCGATTTTTATCGTTGATATTTCATAGGCAAGTGATTAGCCTTCAATTCCCTCCGATCTGATATAACTGTTTGCCGGAAAACGGACTTCCGGGCGAGTTATTTAAGTATGTGTGACATTTGTATAGTGTGTATGTCTGTGTTCTGTGATGATGAAATATAATTGACTAAAATCAATATGTCAATAAATTGCAGGTGGGCATACAAAAACAGAAAGGATTTGTCATTTCACAAAACGCGGAACGAGCAGAGAAAAACAATTTCTCAAAGACCATAAAAAAACAATAAAGGAATGAGGTTTGATGGGCCGCGCTCTCGCAAATCATTGTCGGGGATCTTCACACAAACTGAACACTTAACTAGAGTAACCTGAATTTTCACTTAGAATTTTTAATAAAATATGCAAATGTCAGGAAGCTCACCAGATGCTACTTGACAACATCTACCGACAGATGTTCCCACTAACAATTAACGAGTAGATTTTGCTATCTTCGACTTTTAACTTTTATATGCGCAATTATTCTCGTTCATATGATGAAGGTAATCATCGTAAGGAAACGGTGACATAGACCCAAAAATCCACTGCTTGTGTCGGTTAGAGAATAATGTCGGTTGTCGAAAAAAAATATCAAAAAACACATACAGAAATCGAACAGCACGAAATATTGTAGCGCCACAGGTTTTTGTCGACGCATATATCATAACTTGTTTGTGGAATTAAGTTTAAAAATTCTCAAGACAATCCAGAGCATCGAAGTTGGACAGTCTTCCCCATTGTGAGGATCCCTAAGAGTGGTTTGACGTGCCGCGAGCGTTGAATAATGGAACCGTCGGCGGGCTATCTAAATCTCACGTTATAAATGATGCGATCAATTCTTGTTTACTCCCGAAGGCCCTCATTGAATACCACCCGCTCCGGGATGCACTGCGTTTGTCTTCTCCGATATCTTAAAAGGCTTGGGTAATTGAAAACTGTTAAATATCGCTCGTGTCACCGTTCATTGTTTGCATGTTACATTGAAATAAATTGTAATAAATTGAATATTTTACATATAAGTAGAGAAACGGATTTTAATAATACTAGTTTAACTGTTAAATGTTTTTTTTTCCATTTTGGGTTGGGTTATCTTTATATATTTTCATGATATACGAATTAATATTTGGCAAATCATCTCAAGTCATTTAAATGAACCGCAGCGTAATCATTAACATACGATATTAATATATTAAACATTACATATATTATACCTATCCATCTTTAAGCCAGATTCTTTGTGTACAATGCAATAACTGATTAAACAAGCATATTGTACTTAGCGAGAAACAAACATGAACACGTTTTTCGAGTGTAACTGAAAATAGGATATTATTCACGATCCAACCAACCATGACTAAAACGTTGGCTATGACAGAGACGTAGCACAGGGACGCGTTTAAGTAATATAAAACATTTCGTGTCACTTTCCATCTGTATGCAAATGTGACGTGTCTGTTGCACTCGATGCATAATCACCAGCTACTTGTTTACTGCTGCCACGATTCAGTGGTCAAGGTCTTGGTTTACAGGTGTATAAATCTTAGAATTATTTAATCGCCCTGAAGAAGACCGATAAATTATGAAACAGATGCTTATTAATTAATGTTGGAAGGTATTTATTGAGAACATTTTGGATGAATTTTAAAATATTTAATACGTTATGAATCATTATTTAATATATACTCGTAAATTATAATTAGTATACCTATACCTATTTGGAAGAGCAGTGTTGTCCTAATGGCTTCCGTGTGCGACCATGAGGTCGTAGGATCTACTTTCTTATTACTGTCTTTCTATGTGTGCATTTAAAATTCGCTCGAAGGGTAAAGGAAAACAGCGTGAGGGAACCGGCTTGCCTTAGACCCAAAAAAGTCGAAGGTATGTGTCAGGCTCAGGAGGCTGATCACCTACTTGCCTATTAGATTGACAAATGATCATGAAACAGATACAGAATACTCATTTAGTATTATTAGTTAATTTATACTATGTATTACTAATATGCAGTGATAACATGGCATATCTTTAAGTGAAAACGCTGAATCACCTTTGATAATAAGGATATGATTTTGTTGCTGTCATGATGACAATGCGCAGATTCCCTTGGATGTTTGGAACCTATCTTATACATAAATGCGCTACAACTTTGTTTCCACGTAAAAGAAAACAGTTGATATAAATCCGAATAATCTCATAAGTTGTAAACAAGACGGACCCTTGGAGGTCCGCATCATAAAACCGGTGCGACTCTCATATCTTCTGATTACATAGTACAAGCGCACCCATGCGTGAAAATGAACCTTCACCCTTTTTCCATATTTGAAACTTATTTTATTAACCGGATCAACTGGACATTGCTCTTAGGCACATCTTTCGAGATTGTGTATGTTATGTACAAAGTATTACCTATAAACATATTATGTTAAGGCACAATTTGTATCTTTTAATTTGTTTCATGTTTTAAAAAGTTAATTGTTATTTCCACTATATTGAACCAGCTGTCCGCCGAAACATTTCGGAACCAATTTGACTTGGGCTCCTTCAAGAAAAGAGTGTACTAATAATTAAAATGCCAGCAATGCAATTGCGAGCTTTCTGGTAGCGTGAATGTCCAAGAGTGATGGTATCACTTAACATCAGATGAGTCGCTTGCCCGTTTGTTCTATAAAAAAAACGTGTGTGTACTTATGTAAAAAGAATAACTTCAAAAAAGAATAACTTCAAAAAGAATGTCTAACAATTTATTCTTCAAACGCCCAAAATATATTCTAGACGATCAGAAGGGTTATTAATTTAGAAATCAACTCTATCACACGTCCATCGCGTCAAAGCACCCTAATGGAAAAGCATTTATATAAGCACGCAATATTGTGTCGCGGCAAAGTGACGTCAGGTGATGTAGTAAGCACGAAAAACTCCTTTTTTTTTTTTTTTTTTTCAAAGACAATTCACACCAATTGACCTAGTCCCATGCTAAGCTGGTGAAGCTTGTGTTATGGGTACTAGGCAACGGATATACATACATACTATAGATAGATAGACATATAAATACATATATAAACACCCAAGACCTAAGCACAACGCCAAATGCTCATCACATCGATGTTCGTCTTAGCCGGGGATCGAACCTGGGATCCATGGATTCGCAGTCAGGGGCACTAACCACTACACCAATCAGTCGTCGTCCTGTAACGATATTGTTTATTTGGTAAGTCGTTAATTGTCTTTCGCTATTAGTTTTTGTCTATGAAAACTATGTTTGTTGAAACAAAAAAAACACGCACGCTTGGTAAGGATAGGTAACTTAAGTTTCTAATAAATGTGTACTGTCTAGTCTGTTTAAATACTTCATCGAAACAAATCAGCTGGTACAGACTTCTAGCGGATTCACCGTAACGGACAATATAACAACTATACATAGCCATTTTACGAAATGCCATTGCATACAAGGTTGCCATAACATACAAATAATATAGAAAGAAGTAGGTATGTGATAATTCATAGGCAAAAATTTCAACAAGTTTTGAATTTCTACTATACTATTATATAACAGAAATATTTATCGTCATGAAATATCACTGCGTCGCAGAATAAATTGTAAATGGAAGTGAATTGAAAAAACTTCTTAATCTCTCTATGTTTTCACTTTCCAAATACGTTAAACGAATAAAATAATAAAATGATGTTTAAAACGTCCGTCTGTTTAACAATCATCTAGTTGGTTCCAAAATAGAGGCTAGACTCATACGTAAACCCAATAAACTTTTTTAGAAAATTACTTTGAAAATTTAAAAAAATACTACTTTGAGACATCTTGATGATTTTTATCGATCGTGATATAACAACCAAACGAATCCAAAAAATACGAGCTGACAAAAACCATAGATGCAGTCAAGTAAGCCAAAAAATTAAGGTTGACAAAACGAGTTTCATCATGGAAAGGAGCAAAAGGCAAACGGGGCGAAGGACGACCGTTCAAAAACTGCTGGCCCATACTGGCTTCAGGTGGCTTGTGCAAGAGACAATAGCGTTCTTGGGAAGAGGCCTTGAAGGGGGTTACTAAAATTTTAACTTATAATTTAATATATTTTATATGTATAAAAATAACAAAAAGTTTTGATCATTTGATTTGAAAACATTGATCACTTTAGTAGGAAATATAAGGCTTTTTGATTGTAGAATAAAAAACATCTACTATCTACGTTTATCTATGTACGTCAAGTATCAATCGTCGAAGCTACTCCACGTCAATTTTGACGTCCAGTTTTATGTGCCATAAAACTTTTACACGCACTATTATAAAATGCACGCCCCGTGAATGATGGCCCTATCTTGATTCCCTTTTATACAACTTTATTGCGCAAAAAGATATTTTCATTTCAAATAGATACGTAATTGGAGCAGTTATTTATATATCAAGATACAATAAAGGTCACGAATTCACTTAGTTTCGTTTTGTTTGACGTTATTTAATGGTTAAATGGTTAAATGGTGACGGATCCTATTCACATCGTAATTTAATGTTACAAAAAACAACAACTAGTCCGATTATAAAGAGTAATAGAAAAGAATTATATTTTAAGGCTAACAAGCATAACGGCTTGTAGTTAGAAAAAGATTCACACGCCAGCCACGGTATGGTTTCCAAAATCTGTAAGACCTTTAAATTTAATTTGTAAACGATATTAATTTTCTATAAGCTTCTCATTATAAAATCCCAGAACTCATCAAAAAGCAAAAGCAATTACGGATATTCTGCAAGAACATAACATTAAACCAGCTCATCACCGATAGGCTTACTAGTATAAATGTCTCATTCATTAAAATATGATATCATGATAACTTCAACCAGATAGCGAAGCTATCAGCACCCATAGCTTACATAACCCACTAAAGCTAGCAATACCTCGATCCTACGCATTAGCTGAGCACTGATACAGCTTCACTCGCTCCACTCAAAAGCTTGAAGCCCTTTTCATCCGTCACTAACAAGACGTAATCAGGAACGTGAGCATTGGATAATTACTCTGCAATCAATTTCCAATTACAAACTCGATATTCCGAGCTCGCTATTTCACAAATACCTATAGGGAATGTTATATTGCGTTTCAGTTTGTTATGAAAACTTTGAATAATTTCAATTTAAATATCGCCCCTTTCTTAATTGATTTGGTCCAAATATTTACACTTAGCTTCTTTTAGGTCGTAATAAGTATTCATGTAATAGACACGACAGAGTAGTT